CAGAAGGGAAAAGAAGGCCTGGTCGACCCAAAACAACATGGAAGAGAATGGTTGAAGATGAAAGGAAAACAGCTGGGTGGCAGTCGTGGGCGAATGTCAGAAACCTCGCAGCAAACCGTAGTGGTTGGAAAGAGAATGTCAAAGCCTTATGTGCCTTCTGGCATAAAGAGATATAGGATAGGATAGGAGCCGAAAAAAATGACAGGAGAGTATATAATGTTTTCGAATTGGTAACTCTTAGGGATGAAAAAAATTTCAAGCCACAACCACAAAACAGAATTTTGGTACCTCATAGGGGTTCTTTTCAAAATTTCTAACGAGCATCTCCGTCCTGTTAATGTTGGATTTCTCTCCCCGAGAATCTTTTTCCTTACGAGGCATGTTTCTTGAGAACTGAAACCTGCACAATACATGCATGCTACAACTTCCAATACTTATTTTTCTAGGGGGGAGGGGAGGGAAGGGGGTGGCAAAAGGGAAGGTTCTTCACTTAATCATGACCAAAACACAGACAAAACACTGACAAGTGTGATTTTTCCCTCAAAATAAACATCACCTTCAATTTCAATTCAGCATTGACAGAAACACGATCCAATGGATTCACTATCTTCGTTATATATATGATTTGCAATAACTTACAGAGACGCGATCCATACTGTTTTTAACCAAATATGATAAAATAATATCACAGGATGAGCAAAGGCACACTGCAAAAAGGGTTTTTCAATAAACGATTGACAATCAAGCAAAACATTGCGAAGTTAGAATCGGATTTCTAAATGTACTCGACGCGTACCTTTGATTTCAGGTTGAGTGAGAAAACTAGTATCCAGGTCAGCGCGGTCCAAAAGCTGACTTTTCACTTACAGGACTAAACGGTTTATAAGTTACAGGATATATCATATGGCTGTTACCAAAAGAACATCTTCTCTAGCTTGCTAATATTGAGCGAAAAAAGCCTGGAGACAAATCTGGCTGCATAGAATTTAGAGTATACGTCAACATATAGTTTTTTTGTCCATTGCGGAGCTTAATATTTTCGTTTTCTTTTTGTCTTCCTTTCCAGCCATCTTGGGCGATAGCAGATCCAATCTGCACGTTTGTATTTTCACTGATTGTTCTAGGAACCACGCTAGCTATTCTAAAAGATGCTTTAATTGTCCTTATGGAGGGTAAGTACCATTTTCACGTGACATTTTAACATAAGCAGTACCTCGAAAGAGGGGAAAGTTCTCGAGACCGACCTGGGGATGGGAGGAGAAACTACTCTAGAACCCAGATCTCCCACGGCCAAGCGGAACAGAGTGAGATCTGGAACAAGATTAAGTGACAAAGTTTTATAATTTGGCAAAACTGAGAAACAACAGAAAAAATCTGGATTTTGGTCTTTCAACTGGAAACAGTCCAAGTTAGATTTCAGTTGAGTGCCTTTTGGAAAAATTCAGATTTAAAAAGTTCCAGAGGACTTTGTTTTGCATCTGTCCTCTGGATGAGGTTGAGATAGAAAGCAAAAAATAATGGGATTTTTTTCAATGATTGCAGGAGTTCCAAAAGGATTAAGCTTCAGTTCTTTAAAAGCAAGCCTTCTTGATATCCCTGGGGTGTTAGCTGTTCATGATCTTCACGTATGGTCACTAACAGTGGGGACAAGTGCCATAGCGGTTCATCTTGTGATAGGTGAGTAAGTAAGCTTCCAAACGACTTTTCCTGTCTGTCTGTCCGTCTGTCTAGCAGCCTCTCTGTCTGTCCGTGTGTGTGTCTGGCACTTCGTCTATATAACTGTCGGTTTGTAAAGCTGTCTGTCTAACAGAGTCTGTCTTGCCGTAAGTCTTTCTAGCTGTCTGTCCGTCCGTCTGTCTATGTGTATATATCTGTCTGTCCGTCTGTGTCTGTTTGTCGTTTGATCAGCCAGGTTAAATGGTCAGTCAGTCGTACTGAAAAGGTCGTGGCTAAAAACTACAAAACGTACTCGTGACGTAAAAGTGACGCCATTATCACGAGGTATCACACGAAGAGTCCCGAGAATTTTCGACGACTTCCGAACATTTGTACCACCCGAGTGCGAAGGAACAACATAAGCTTTGTGTTCTTATTTCCTTTTTAGACGACACTTGTAGCTCACAGACGGCTCTGGAGGAGGCGTCGCGGATCTGTAGCCAGGAGTTTGATATTCAACACAGTACAATCCAAGTAGAGACTTCTAGCGAGAAAACCGCTGAATGCATTCAGTGCAACGAGCCTACCACATAACACAAAACTGTGGAATCATAATCAACGAGGCGCTGGACACCGGGACATGGCCATGGACGCGTGTCTTAAGGAAGCCTTAGTTTCAATTCAGATCACGATACTTCCAAAGATGATCAACAACTTCAGTCTCCCAACCTTCCTCCCCGAGATGCCACGAAACAGTGATGAGAAATCAGAATTTGGTCATCGCTGGAAATAAAAGGGTTAACGCAAGCTCTCCTCTTAAGACTGCCAAAGCCGTAAAATAAAACTGACTTATTTTATAAAAATTGCAACTTGGGAAAATCGAGCTATCAGAAGTTCTGCGCAATAGTTACCATTTTGAATTTGCCGCACTTCAGATTTTCACCTAGATACTTTACAATTAAAGGCCACCTTGTATAGCAGACTCAATATCTTTTTTATTTGGATGGTCGCACACAAGGGTTTCAGTAACTGACGTTAACATAAACACCACCTTCCACAACAGTACTGCTCAAGAGCGTTCATTTGAATGGTCACACACTAGGGTTTCATCTACAGACTTAAAAGTTAGAACCACCTTGTACAGCATAATAAACAGTACCACATGAAAGTACTGCTTAATAGCTTTCATTTGAATAGTCACACACTAGGGTTTCATCCACAGACTTAAAAGTTAGAACCACCTTGTACAGCATAATAAACAGTACCACATGAAGAAACTGCTCAATAGCTTTCATTTGAATGGTCACACACTAGAGTTTCATCCACAGACTTAAAAGTTAGAACCACCTTGTACAGCATAATAAACAGTACCACTTGAAAATATTGATCAATGGCTTTCACGTCAATCATAACTTAGCGTTTCATCAATTAGTCGCGTTTTCCACAGCATATTAGTATAAATCTACTAGCGTTCTATCACGAATGCCGTTCTCTGGTTGGCTACGCTACTCACGTTCTATTCTGTGATAGATAGTGAGTAGCGTAGCAGTGTGCCTTGTTAACAAAATGACGGCCGCTTCTTGGCGTTTTCGAAGTGACTGTGACGAGGATTTAGATAAAGGTTTTGAACGACTAGTAGATTTATACTAAAACAATTAGGTTATTCGCTCTCGATTTCTATGTGTGATAGTTGACGAGGGCGCAGCCAGCCAAATCGAAGTGGTTTAGCGTTGTCTGTACTCTTCTCGACAACGATATGCGTCATCACAGTGGTCAAAATGCTGTGGACTCACGAGGCGCAGCCTCGTGAGTCCACAACAAATAGCCACAATCAATCGATCAACGTCAAAGAAAATGCCGGGGTTTTCTTCAAAGCGCGAGCTGAAAAAGGCATTGCGTGACACATTGACGCGAGCAGCGTTGTCTTGACTCTTATCGACAACGGCAAATTAGCCAATCAGATTGCGAGATTTGTGGATTGCATGCCACGAAGTTTGACTCTTTAACGATGGGTGAATATACCAGATCTGTTGCAAGTACTGAAACATTTGAGCATGCCACATAAACATCGCTAAATAACGAGTTTCTAAATTTTCTACCGTGAGGGTAACCGGAGAGGGTGGTGAGGGTGGGGGTATTTACAGGTTACATACCTACAACCCCACCTCACCCCTACTCCCAGCGATTTTGGATTACTGTCAGTAATTACTCAATAGACACTCTTTTTTGCAAGGCAAATGAGACCTTTTTTATGTCAATTCAAAGGATGCAAAAGGCAGAATCTGGCCTCAAGTTGAGTCAACATCGATGCTCTCGGAGTTGATACATATCTACGACAGCTCCCAATGAGTAAACGCGCTTGTGAGTAAGACCAGAACTCATTCTCCCATTGCAAAATTCAGTGTTATCTTCTCGATCTCTTGCTGCCTGTATCCCTGTCGTCGTGATATCGCACCCGTTTGCCTCCCTCTCTGTGTTGTTTTTTGTCTTTCCTCCATCTCCCTTCCTCGCCTCTACTGTCCTTTCTTGTATTGTCTTTTTGGTCTCTACTGTCCTGTCTCTCTTCAGAGGCATCCTCTTCGTCTGGATTATTATCACTGATGCCATGTTCGTCTTTGTACTGCATCTCCAAGACTTGCATTTGCGTCTCGATCAAGTCACGCATTACCTTAAGGCGAAAGGAAAGCAGCGAACTTTAAGATATATTCAGTAATAATAACAATTAAAAAAAAAACTGCATACGAGCCACGTGGCCCATGACGCCAGCGCTTATCTCCGGTTTTTGTAGCATGAATCGACTAGGGGTATTTCTAATCCCCCCTGGATGGGATACTAGTCCATCGCAGGGTTACCTCTAGCATAAAATTCGCCGGTACTTATTTATACACCTGGGTGGAGAGAGGTTCTTTGGGAGTAAAGTGTCCTACCCAAGAACACAGCGCAATGTCCCCGGCCAGGGCTCGAACTCAGACCGCTCGACCCGGAGGCGAACGCACTAACCATGAAGCCACCGTGCATCTATACATTCAGTAAACACAGCTTATGAAGTGCCTCTACAAGAACGTTTGAAAAAGTATAGATCTATAAATCTTAGCAAATTGACCTCATTTTCCACGGTCTACACTCTTTTAGAATATTCCTGCTGTATACCCGTCATTGAAGTTGCGCGTGCAGTACTATTTATAAGAAGCCACTCAGCTTAGTTCTATTGTTTTGTGTTCTATTGTGCTCGGAAAAAGTCAAAAGCAAGAAAGCAAACAAACAAAGAAACAAACATCGCGCCTGACCAAAGGCTTGTTGCGTTTTTACACTTTACTAGCAGTTTAGTTTACTCTACATCTTCTTCCTAGATGACTCATGGAGGTGGTGTGAAATGATGACGACTTCCACCAAGGGGTGGGGGTTAGGGTAGCAGGTTATACGTACCTCCACTGCACTCCTTTTGGTGATGTGCACGTTCTTCGCTCGGTAACTCTGCCGGCGTCTCTTGTAATCACGCTGTTCAGCTAACACTTCAAACCGAGATTTAGGCTGTCCGCCTTCAGCATCTGCAAGATAATCGGGAAACTTGAACCTACAGGTCAGCAACCCTAGTCCAGTTCTAGCCTTCTCTCTCTGTCACGCAACGCCACGCTCTCGGGGAGAGGGAGTCGACGAGAACAATCGGTGTCATAAACACGCCCAGGTTAAAAGAGAAAAAAAATCAATTTCGCACACCTATCGGTCTCCTAGCATCCCATAGCACAGGGCCATAAGAGCCAATACTATTCGTTCTTGTTTAACACATTTATAATTCGTCCTTAGTCCTGTAAGGTTTATTCTATTTGAATCTCCATAAGTTTCTTCTTCAACTCTAGTTATTTCGACGTTAGAACGAAACAGATTCACCATATAGACCAAGTTCTATCTTTGCTGTGAGATTTTGGAAAACAAACACAAAAGAAATCAATCCATCATTCTTAAACCTCAACGTGATTTCTCTTCTGTTATTCCTATAAGGCTCGGAGCAAAGTAAGAATAGATCTTCATGTATCGAAAAAGACCTTATTTGCCATAAGTTTACGTCAGGGTTGCTAGGCAACCAGTGACGTTAGCCGAGGCCTCCGACAATTCCCGCGCTGAAGATTTAAACACAAAAGCTGCCTACTTTCCGGAGAGTAGTTCACTCTGTCTGTCTTACCTTTGTCATTGTTTGGGTCAGAAGCGACTTCCAAATCTACCTCTTCCTTCTGACCTTCACGTTTGGCCTTCGACTTCTATTTGTGAAAGTACAAGAGAAAATACTAAGTCACATAAAGTGGAAACACTTTTATTGACGAGAGACCGTAGAGGAGACCTTTCTAGACACAAGATGTACATGTAAACTCAGTGGTTTCAGGATGTAAATTTTCATTAATTTACTGCGTATTTCTTTTCGTTTCCAGTCAGGAATTCCCTTTATCTCTTACTAAACGTTCAAACCCAGTTTCCTTACCCAGGCAAGGAGTTTTAAAAAATATAAATTACACTTATAACGGAGGCTTTGGATAAACAATTAAGAATAAAAATCAGCGATAATAATTATGAATAACGTCTCGATGACTCGCTCCTCTTGAAAATCATGAACGAGTCATGGAGACGTCATTCAAAATTGTTATATCCCTAATTATTATAAACTACACTACCACACACAAGGAGGTTAGGCTGTGTATGAATACTGGAAGCTTCCGTATTAGTGAGGTGTGTTTTGTAAGGGGGGAGGGGGGGGGGTCGGCTCAGTTCTTGTAAATACTACAAATCTCTTGCAAGTTAAACGAAAAAGGACCACAGGCTTGACTCCATTGTTGAAGAACTTACACCTGGGTGTACAATAAAATTATTTTACACAAACACGGACCTGTATCACATGTTCATACACGGCAAGCCGCTGCTGAGGCGATAACTCATTTATCACCCGGTCCATGGGAAGGGGTATTTCCTTTACATAGTTTTCAACAGGTAGTGGTTCATGAGTGTCTGCGGTGTCTGTAGTGTTGAGATCTACAAAGAATAACACGTTTAGTTACTGGGACTGAAATAGTTAATTTAGTTTAAGTGAACATATTTATTTAAGAGTTTGACATCTGGAGAAAAAGCCAGGTCGGAGACACAAGATGGCGCATCGCGGCCCATAAAATTTGTTTTCCTCATATAGAACAGATTGAGAGCAATCTTCGTATTTCTCCGAAGACTGCTTCGCCGGTCCTCGCTGGCCGATCCTCTCTTGTCGCTTGTCTGTCGTGGTTCGCTGCTTACCGGTCTTGGAATTCTTACATTCGCTTCCCGCAGTATTTGGTGAAAAATATATACTGCTTGCCACTCCTTATATATAAACTGTAGTCTTATGTGCAAAGCGATTTCAATCGACTGCCACCAAACCAAACCCAATCACGACAAAACAAAAAGAACGAAATGAACCAATCAGAACAGGAAGCAAAATCAGACGGCCCGTGCCAAGCGCGGGAAAAAAGCGTCTAAGCTTCCAAAGTACTGGACTTTGAAACGAGAGGTATTTGAGCCAATCAAGGCGAAGATGTTGTTTTCTAGGCCAATCAGGTTTAAACGTCTTCACAACTTTTCTCGCGCTTGTCTCCGGCTGCACGTTTCTAGTTCACTTACAATGTCCAAAAATTAAATTACTATTTCAGTTGGGCCTCTATTAACTATGGCCGAATTGAATGATATAACATTCAAGGGACATACCCAAGGGTTCTTGCCTTCTGTTCTCTATGCTGGACTGAGAGGGAAAATAAAACTACGATAAGTAACCAACCATTATTAAGCTGCAAAAATGCCGATATGGGCAAAATAATGAAGAGGAAATTCGAGGCTAGTTAGACAGAGACTGAAAGAAAAACGACAAACCTTTAAATATGGAGGGAGTTGAGATCATAAATAGCAATTCAAATTAGGTTAATCAAGTGGAACAATGAGCGAACTTACAAACTGCATATGAGAAGACGCACATTAAACAAAAATCAGATTTACAGTAAGAACATGAACAAGCGAAAAAAAATTAAAACGATGGAACAAACAGATGGCCAAATGGACACAATGATTCGCGACACAATTTAACTGCTTTCGCCTCAATTTTGTGCGCCCCAAAATGCGCTGGGAACGTTACGAAGTTACGCTGGCTTAGAAATGAACGAATGAGCAAAGAAGACGATGAGAGGACAAAAAATAAGAATATAAACACACGCACATGTACGAGACTGAACAAAGAAGAAAAGGTGCACAGACAAACAAACGGGCAAAAGAACTAACAGATGAACAAAAGAATAGGAACATTAGTGATAAACGATCGATAAATGCGTACCGCAAACACATGGCACTTACGAAAAAAGGCAAAGTTTTTTTACCTGCTTGGCGTTGTTCTCTTCGGCTGAGATTGAAACAGCAAGAAATTTCCACAAGCTCAAAACGAATGACTGTGTTTCTAAGATATGAAGGAAACCAAAAACAGCATTTGAAAAAGTCCAGTGAACTGACTTGAATTCATCCTGGCGGGTAATGGGAAGCTCCTAGTCTTTGAATAAACTTATTTGGCCTTCACAGCTCACTCAGCAATCTCTGACCGGTGTGTGGAAAGTCATAGAATGCACAGATGTAGGTTCGATTCATGGTGGAGTGTCTACTAGCATTTTTTTGTTCTAAAATGCTTGAATGTACGTGTTACTGCAAGACTAAATTACATGTACGATCCGAACAGACTAAAGTGAACTTTAAGAAAACAACAAAGAAAGGAATGTCCCAAGAAATTTCAGCGACTGGAAATTTTTTCTGTGAACGAACTACACGGTGTGCTAAAATTTTGATAGCGCCCTACTCTCTCTGAAGAGAAACGTTGGTTAGAATCTAATCAACCATGTCGAGCCCCAGTGGGGAAAACTCTCCAAATGTACATGTACTAAGTTAGTTTACATGTAGGTAACCATACAAGCTCTGTTTGAAAGCAGAAAAATCACCTTCAAAGGAACAAAATCTTAACTGAGATTGAGAAAAACTCTGAGAAACAAATTTGCATTTTGGCTGAATTACACTACGACCCTGTCCAGACTTAACGCCGGGGAAATTTGAAAACGCAGCTTTATTTCTACGGTTACCTACCGCCCACGAAAATCCGTCTCGAAAACGGAGCTTTTCGAAAACGCTCTTCAAACCAGAGGAATCTGAAAACGCCGGCTTTACGTTTTAGCGTGGACAGAAAACATTTTGAAGACAGGGCTTTTTGAGAACGATGGCATTACGATAATCAAGTGATTTCCCTGACCGAGTTTTCTTCAAACACAAATCCAAAATGACCGGTGATCGTCGCATTATCAAATTTCTCCGACTTAATGTGGACAGATTTAACATTTGATGCGTTTTAAGAATGAAAAAGCCGTTTTCAAATTTCTCCGCCGTAGTGTTGACGGAGCTTGTATAGAGAAAGTTCCAGCTTCTCACCATTTCCAAGAAGATCCTTAAGCATCTCTTCCATACCACTTGGATGAGCAACCTTCTCCTCTTGAAGACAGGATAACACAAAATTCACCAGACGATTGCTAGCACCCTCTAGAGAGCTGCGATAAACAAAATAATTTATAACAGTGACTTTTATAATAGTAAATGGGTTGGACCCAGGAGTCAACCTCATTCCCAGGGTCTCTCAACTTGTCGCCCTCCTGGAGCGAGAGAAGAGCGGGCGCTCCGGGAGAGCGGATAGACGAGAGACCCTGGAAACGCAGTTGCCCAGGAGTATCAGTAGCTCATCTTCTGTGATCATCTAAGTGAGGATAGTTCTGTTCTGAAGGTGATCGATGTTTTGAAAACCAACCTGGTCTCTGAAGGTGACTTCTGCTCAGGTTGTC